AAGTCTTCAGCATTACTCTTGCTACTCTCAGTTTTACATATGACCTTATCTCTTTACAAAAAAGAGGGTCATCAGACATTCATTCATTTTACTAACAATTCTCTCTAGCACCTAATCACTTATTTTATATGTACGGGAAGGGGAGAAATGTTATTGTTCATTTCTAAAGATGATAATAGTTAAAATTTGAGTCTTTTTAATGTGACAGGTAGTGTGCTTAAACAATTATATATATATATATTATTTCTTATAATCTTAAGACTGTCATTAGCATTATTTTATTGGAAACTGAGGTCTAGAGAAGTTAAGTTTAACTTGCTTGTGGTCACATAACTTGTAGTAGCAGAGTTGAGACTTTTGTTGGTTTTGCGTGACTCATACTAACCTTGCTTCTTCATTACTACACTGTATAGCTTCTCTGTATTCTTGTTTCCCTCTTCCTTTAATGTTGTAGAATCTTGCTTTCTCCGTTATCCCTTTTTTTATGACTTTATCCTATCTATTCAACCTACATATAAATCTGGGTCTCTTTTAGCCATCAAAAAATACAAACAAAAGCACATAAACTTTTTTTTTTTTTTTACTTTGCTTCCCCTCAAGATACCAGCTCTTAGCTCTCTCCGTACTTTCACAAGGCATTTTGTAAGAACAAACTAAATTAACTGCCTCCTGTTTCTCACCTGCCACGTGATGAACCTTGATATGCACACCAGATCCACCAATCTTTCCAGTCCTTATCCCCCACTGCCATTGAAATTTCAGCTTTGGATCTGTTGATACTAGTCTTTTGTTGCTTTTTTATGCCTCTTAGTTCTCTCTTTCTTAGTCTTTGCTAAGTTATCCTCTAATGCCATCTGCTGCTTAAGTTTATTGTGTGTTTTAGGATTCTATACTCAGTCCTTTCCCCAATCTCTTATTGTACGCACAATTCTTAGGTAATTGAGTCTGTTCTCACAGTTTTGGCTATTGCCTAAATCTCTATCTGTACTCTACTCTTATTTTCTGAGTTTTGTCTTAACCTGTGTTTTCAACCACCTATGGAACATAGCAGCCTAAAATATTCTGAGATTCATTATGTAGAAGTCTAAACTTTTCCCCTCACACCTTTTTGTTCTTCATGCTTTCCCTGTCTCATTACCAGCCTAGTTGGCTAAGTTTAGAAACTGTTAATTTAAACTTCTTTGTTTCTCATATTCTCTGTTTTTTAAATATATCTTTATTGATTTCAAAGAGAGGAAAGGAGAGGGAGAGACAGAGATAGAAACATCAATGATGAGAGAGTCATTGATCGTCTGCCTCCTGCACGCCCCCTACTGGGGATTGAGCCTGCAACCCTGGCATGTTCAATTCCTGACTGGGAATCGAACCTCGATCACCTGGATCCTAGGTCTATGCTCAACCGCTGAGCCACGCCTGGCCGGGCTCTCAGATTCTCTATTACTCTCATGTTTAGCTAGCCAATATACGTGCCCACCCACCTCCCTTTTTAAAAAATCCTTTTGCCTATGCCCTGGTCTAGGCCTTGAATTCCTATAGGTTTCTAGATGTTCAGTTTTCAGTCTCATCTTCCCAACTTCCTCCCTCTCCATACCTATTTTTCTAGTGCTGTTTGAGTTATAACAGACCTTTCAGTGTCATCCTAATTTTTAAATAATATCCATTGCCTCTGAACTAAAATTTATTGAACAAATATTTACTCAGTATCTATTATATGCTGGGCACTATTCTGAATGGGGATAGAGCAGTGAACAAACAGACAAAAATCTTTTCTTTCATGGAGCTTAGTCTAGTGAGGAGAATCAGACAATAAAAAGTAAACTATGTAGTTAGGAAGTGCTACATATCGTGGGGAAAAATTAAGTGGAGAAGGCAGGTGGGAGTAGGGGGTGGAGAAATGGGTTGCAATTTTAAATGGTGTGATTAGGGAAAGGGACACCTGAGCAAAGATTTGAGGGCGTTGAGGCAAGTGAGCTGTGTGTGTATCTGGGGGTAGAATATTCCAGGCTGAAGAACTAATCAGTACAGGGACCCTGAATGTGAAAGCCTGCCAGATGTGTTCAAAAACAGCAGGAAGCTGTTGTTGCTAAAGGTGAGTGAGAAATGGGGAGAGCAGTGAAGTAAAGAAGTAGACAGGGAAATAAGGAAGTGCATGTATAGGACCTTGTAGATAATTTATAAGAATAAATCTTAATGAAGTGGAGCGGAGGAGATCCAATAATGTAACTTATATTTTGATACTAGACTGTGAAGGCTAAAGGTGGAAGCAGGAAAACTATTTAGGAATATATTGCAGTAATTTAGGTGAGATGCAATAGTGACTAAGACCAGGGTTGAGCATTGAAGATGCTAAGAAGTAGTTGGATCCTGGATAAACTTTAAAGGTGGAATCATTAACACACACACAGAGATACGGGGAATGTGTGTATATGTGTGAGAGGTAGAGGTGAGTGGGGAGTTAATGATGATTTTAAGGTTTTTAGCCTAGGCAAGATCAAGTAGACAGTTGGATATACTAGTCTGGAGCTAAAAGCAGAGATCCAAGATATGTATGAATTTGGGAATCATCAGTATATTGTAGTATTGAGCCATTAGACTGGATGAGATCATCAAGGGAGTGAGCTTACATTAAAACACATACACACAGAGATCTGATGACTAAGCCCTGGGATCCTCCATTTCTCAGGAAATAAAAGATAATAGGAGGAACCAGAAATGGAGAGCAAGAAGAGTTGTCTTTAACGTAGGATGAAACCAAAAGAGTATAGTGTTCTAGAACCTAAGTGAAGCAGGTGTTTCAAAGAAGGAAACATGATGAAAGCTGAGTAGAAGGGAGGGGTTAGATGGTGACTAAAAATTGACATGGGATTCAGCAACAAGGAGATTATTGATCTCTATGAACAATTCTAGTGGAGTAGTGGTGGTGAAATTCAGTGGAGTAAGTTTTAGAGAGAATGAGATGAGACAGGTATTGGAGAAAGTAACTGTAGACACCTCTTATGAGGCATTTTGCTCTTAAAGGGGGCCTGAAAATATGGTGGTGATTAGTGCAGTTAGAGTTTTTTTAGTGATGGGAGAAATAGCAGCAATTTTGTGTGCTGATTATAATGCTCCCACAGAGAAAGACAGGAAAATTACTGAAGCAATGACTGAATAGGAAAAACAGAACAGTATCTTTTGTATGTTTTTTTATTTGTTTTTTAACAAGTAGCAGGGTTTGTCTTAGAAAGGTACTTGGTCAGTTTATTTCTAGAGAAGGGAAAGAGGAGCATATGGGGAAAGATGCTGGTAGGTAAGCACATGCAGTGGTGCAAGCAAGGTCATCAGCTGAAGGTAAGAATGGGAGATGAGGTATTGGACTTTGAAGAGAAGAAATCAAATAGTTTGAAAAAGTGAATAGACTAGGCAGATATAGTATTACTGGGCTGATTGAATTTCTTCAAGATGAATTTAATGTGAGACCAATCAGCACAATTTTAGGTTTGCAGTCATGTTCAGTTCTTGGGTGCAGGTAGGGAATGTGTGGAAAGCTGGATTTAACCAGAGTTGTGGTTTATCAAACACGTATGACATAAGAGAAGGGTATGTACTAGAGTGGACTAGGCAAACTTTTTCATAAAGGGCCATTTAGTAAATATTTTTGGTTTTGCAGGCTATGTGGTCTCTGTCACAACTACTCAAGTCTGCCATTAACGCTCAAAAGTAGCCATAGAAAATACTTAAGTAAATGAGCATCACTGTGTTCCTATAAAACTTTATTTATAAAAACAGGCAGCACACATTTGCTATTGTTCACTGACCCCTGTGATAGACCCTGGAATTTAAGCTGGATATGAAAGGGAAGAAGAGGAGAACATGAGAGTGAAGGATAGTGAAAAGGTGGTAGGGTCATTGGTATGCTGTCTCACTAAACTGTTTTTTGAGCTCTGCTGTACTCTTTGACCCCACATCTTGCATATGTTTTTTTTCTCTGCCTGAAATGGTCCTTTTGTACTCAGTTTAGATGTCATCTCTTTTATACCTATGCCCTTACTTCCTCTGCAGTGGCTACTGACATATAAAAAATAATCAATTAATGCTGAAAATTGAAATTCTTCACTTCATTTTGGTAGGTAAGATGATTTCAAATTGGGAAGACTGAAAGTTTGCTTACCTGCAGATTTTCCCACTCAGTAGCCAATTCTAGACTTGAACACAGTGATTCTCAACTTTGTTTTCTGCTTCAGTTTATTTATCTGATATTGTTCACATGTTCAGGGTAAGGGTAGCACTCTGTTCCTCTTTCCTACTTGGTACTTAGTTGGAATTCCCTTCTTTCTCTCCAATGATCTTGGATTGGTGTCTTTATGCTGCTGAGAATGGATGTTTAAACATGTGACCTGCAGTAAACTTGTGAGTATGGTAACTTGCTGCCTTATTAGTTTACTCTTTTTCTTTCAGTTAATTGTAGAAGACATGTGTTGGTTCTACTAAGTATAGACTGTCAAGTACCCATAGAATCTTTTTGTAGAGGTCAGAGAAATTTTGAAGAACATCAAGTCCAACTTTTTATATTATAGTTGAAGAAACTGAAGCCTTGGGAGATTTAAGTGACTTACGTACATCAGTTAGCAGCAGAGCAAGGGCTAGAAATGTACTGTTTTAGCTCTCAATTCAATATTCACTTTACTACTATGGCACATTTCCTGATGGGATAAGAGGGCATTGATTCTCAAACTAGAAAATATGAAACTCTGTGATAGGTGTTATCCTTTAAAATCATATAACCTAAATAATAGTTTAAATATGATTAGGAATCTTAACAGTATTGAAAAGATGTGGTAGATTGTTTTTCTTATTATGTTTATATTCTGATTTAATTTTGTATAATTAAAATTGAACACATGAATGTCTTAATTTCTTAATCTGTATAAGTGAATGTATAGAGCATTTACTGTAATTTGAATATTTAAAGACTAGTTTCTAATTTTGTTATTTTGTTTGTTTTGAATAAACTTTTTCAGAAAGATGAGGTCTATCTCAATCTGGTGCTGGACTATGTTCCGGAAACAGTATACAGAGTTGCCAGACACTATAGTCGAGCCAAACAGACGCTTCCTGTGATCTATGTCAAGGTATGTAAAAATGGAGCAATTTTCCATTTTATAAAGTACTTACCATGAGCTGGGAAGAGGGCTAGGTGTATTTTAACTATATTAGCGCATCTAATACTAAGAAGAAAAAGCTGCAAAGTAGGTATTGCTAGAGCTTCGTTAAATTCTTTTACAGTTTTAAATAGTGAAGCTTTTACTGTTTAAACTTTAATGAGTCCAATATTGAAGATATTTGTCATCTTTCTTATACGTGAATTTTTCAGACAATTATGGACTTTAATTTTGCTAGGCATAGCATCTTTTTATTTAATTTCTGATATACTTATTTTGCCACAGATTGAAATAAGAGCAGTCATATCATAAAATTATAAAATACAGCTATAAGTATGATCAAATTCAATGTTTTTTTGCCCTTTACATATACATTGTGTCTGTAGCTGAAGTTTCAACTTTTAATAATTTTAAATAATGTATAGATTCTTTCAAGGTGTCATTTAGCTTATGGTACCTATTACCAGGATCATCTTTTTTATTTGGTGGAACTCATGACAGAGTGGCTAGGAATTTATCCAGCATAATTCTGATTAAATATCCAGTTACTATTTATATTTCCAATATATCTTATACGTATTTTTAAAATTTCTTTGTTAGAATTGGGATCCAAGTAAGGTTCCTATTTCAACTGGCAGATGTGCAGCAGCAGCTGCTGCTGCTGCTTCTGCTTCTTTTTAAATTGATTTTAGAGTGAGAGAGGGAGAAGCATTGATTTGTTGTCCCACTTATTTATGCACTCATTGGTTACTTCTTGTATGCGCCCTGACTGTAGATCTAACTGAGACTTTGGCGTATTGGGACCACGCTCTAACCAACTGAGCTACCTGGCCAGGGCCAGATGTGTTTCTTAATGTTTCTTTTCATCTCTAATTTATTTATTTCTCTCTCAACTTAGTTATTAAAGAAACTGGGTCATTTGATCTTCAGTTTTTTGGTCTCAATTTTGTGCTTGAATTGCTGCAGTACAGTGTAGTGTATTACTCTTCTCTGTATTTCATGTAAATTGGACATTAGATAAAATTTTTGTAGGAATCAAGATTACTTCATATATAGTATTAGTGCTTTTCTAAGGAATAGCAATGTCTTTTTGTGATGCTTGTAGCCATTGATGCTATTTGCCTAAGTTCATTAATTCATTAACAGTTGTAAAATGATATTTTAATATTATTATTCCTTCTTAATTTATAAGCTAGAATAGTTCCATAAATAGAAACTTTCCTATGTCAACTATTTCATTTCCCTGAGGTACAGTTTATATAAGACAGGATATATATTTGATTATTTCTCTTTATTTACCAAAATTTATAATAATTTATTGGTTCCATAGCATCCTCCAAAGATTACCAAGGAGGTATTTTTTGTTGTTGTGTTTGTTTTAAAGCTTCTTAGACAAGTCTTAGTAATCTTGGATAGCTTCCTTGCTTTCTAGCATGACAGTACTCTAGGTTCATCTTTATACATTTCTTCTGCTGACTTGAAATGAGCCTTATCTTCAAGGGGAACTTATTCTTTTAGTGCGAAATAGTATTTAGAAACCACAGTCTGGATATTAGGGGTGCTACTTGCAATAGAATTGGCTATTGTTTTTAGGTCTTTTTAGTGGACAGAGCTAGGAAATATGTGTATCATTTCTTCAAAGATAAAATGCATCTTTTTCCATCCCAAAGATAAATACACTATGTGTTTATGTTGCTATTTTTAATTAAATATTGGGGAGCTTAACAATCTTCCATCTCTATTTCCTTTCCTTTAAACTAAAAATTCTATTTTTCAAAGACATTATAATTACTTATGTGTTCTGTCCCATACTATGCATGCAATAGTCTTAGGATAGCAATACCAATACTACCAGTACCAGCTGAAAATAATTTAAGATCTTCTGCAGCTCTTTTTATTCCTGTGGTACGTCCCATTAGGATGAACAGTCAAATTTCTCTATTTTAAAGAAACAATGAATAATTTCTTTCTGTGATTATGCCTTACTAAGCTTTGTTTATTTAATTTTACTTTTATTATAGATTGTGTTTTAAACTTTTAAAAGTTAATTTTACTTTAAATTTTCCATCAAAATTGAAAATACTTACATTGTTCCAAAGTAAAATCTACAAAACAACGTATATGCAGTTAAAGAAGATTTTTTTTGTTTGTTTTTAAATATATCTTTATTGATTTCAGAGAGAAAGGGAGAGGGAGAGAGAGAGATAGAAACATCAATGATGAGAGAGTCATTGATCGGCTGCAGCCTGCAACCCGGGCATGTGCCCTGACAGGGAAGCGAACCCCGATCACCTGGATCCTAGGTTGATGCTCAACCGCTGAGCCATGCCTGGCCGGGCTAAAGAAGTTTTTAAAGTAATTATTTTATCGCCCCATCTCCCTTTTATGTAAATGGTTACATGATGGGTATATATTTTTTCTACCTTGCTTTTTTAATTAAAAATGTATTCTGGAAATTACTCTGTAGATAGGTGGATGGATAGGTATAGAGTTATTTTGCCTTTCTTTTTACAGCTGTATATATTAGTCTGTTGCATGGCTGTATCCTAATTTATTTAGTTGGTCACCTATTAATGGACATATCCTTCAGTAGCCTTCATGGACGTCACCATCTAATATAAACTTATTTGGCATACATGTTACCAAAATGGCAACTGCAGTCTTTTGTTACTCTTTGACTTTCATATTTTCTGGGGGAGTTGAGTATGTTTTATGAGTTTACCCCTTCAAACCTCTTTCTTTACCCCTTTTATAGTGCTGGTCACTTAGTACTTGATGATAGTTATATATAAGTTAAATTTTTGAGTACCTTTTTTGATGAACAGCTTTCATAATTAAGTGGTGTTTAAATACAATTCTAAAACAGATGCCTGGCAAATCATTGATCTTGAAATTTTTTTAATTGAAAAGATGTGGTTAAGGACAGGGTCTGGGTACACAAGAGAGCTAGATGCATTTTTGTGAATCATGAACAAAATTGCTATTCTATTATTTGTTTTAAACAGGTTTAGTAGCATAGAGAAGAGAGGACATTGGACTTGAAGTTAGATTTGATAATTTTGTAACTGAGTTCAAATGGTGTTCAAACTGCTAATTGGGCCTCAATTATCTCTTGTGAAAATTAGGATAAATGTGTATCTCACAGAGTGATTGTAATAATTAAATAAACAAATGGTGAAACACACTTGTTTTGACAGTACATTTTAAATAAGTCTCGAATTTCAAAATGTACTAAATATCTGAGTTTCTAAGAGTTTATCATTCTAGTCTTTTACTTAGTGATCAAGCTATTTAATAATTGTGTTTTTGCACTTTTAGTTAATAGAATAAGAATATGGCAAAATAAAGAAATAATAATTAAAATAGGCATGCTTAAATACCCAAGACACTGCAGAATATTAAGTATGTGATACTGGACAAATCGCTTAACCTTTGTGCCTCAGTTACTTTATATGTAAAATAGAAATAATAGTAGCACCTATTACATAAGGGTTAAATGAAATAATACCTGCAAAGCTCTCAGAATAATGCCTGGCACATGATCAGTTGTTTTCTTGTTATTGTTTTTGCTGTCTTTCTAGTGTAGTAAGCCTCTTCGTTATCCTATAAACATACTTTTACAGAGTCAAACAAAAAAAAAAAAGATATAAAATTGCATATTTCATTCTTTAATCTTGACCTTTCAAAAGATAAAATGAAGAGGATGGAGATAGGGTAGATCTTTCAGATGAATGAATATAGTAAAAAAACACCTTAACCTCATTTAAACTCTTAAGCATTTTTAGCAAAGAAAACATTTTTTCCCACTGATTCTTGCTGACCTAGACATCAGTGTCTCAACAGAGTTAATAAAGTCTCTCCTTTAGTAAGTTAATGTCTATGAAGTCAATATCTTGTGGGGACTAATTTTCTTAGTGGCAGTGAATTAATTCTTAGAACTCTGAGAGTAAGCTTTAGGACTTGGAGATTGATTCTGTGAACAGTGATGCAGTATTAGAATTATGAAGCTTTTAAAAAGTTATATGGATGCCCTGGCTGGCATGGCTCAGTTGGTTGGAGTGACATCCTGAGCACTGAAGTGTTGCGAGTTCAATTTATGGTCAGGGCACATACCAGGTTGTGGGTTTGATCCCCAGTCTGGTGCCTGGTATGAGAGGCACCAGATCAATCTTTTTCTTTCCTCCCTCTCTTTTCTTCTCTCTCTAAAAATCAGTGGAAAACATATCCTTGGATGAGGATTAAAAAAAAGTTATATAGATATCTAAATTCCGTAATTCTAACTTTGGTGGCAAAATGCTGACCTAGTTGAAGATCTTACCTATACATTTTACATCATGCTTCATTTTAAAGAAGACTTAAACTTTTCCAGCTTTAGTTCAAATAATGTTAAGGATGTACTGAGATTACCTGTCTGCTGTTTCATCGTGACTGTTTGAAAGAAAGTAGGTCTCATGTTTAACTTGAATTAACTAAGTCTTAACAGTAACCTCTAAATATTGGTGCCTTATGACAATGCTTTCGTCTGACGTTTGTCTTTTTTTGTTTTGTTTTTTACCAAGTCACTGGTATCTTTGGTTTGAATCATTTAAAAAAGTGCAGTGGTACCTCAGTTTTCGAACGTCTCCATTGATGAACATTTCAGTTTACAAATGCCATAAACCCAGAAGTAAATGCTTCAGTTTTTGAACACACCTCAGAAATCAAACTTGCCACACAGCTTCCCCTGAGTGCAAGATCCTGAGGCTGTCGGCTGTTAATCCCTCAGTTTTCAAACATTTCAGAACTCTTAACGGTCTTCCAGAATGGATTACATTCGAAAACCGAGGTACCACTGTATTTCCATGGTACTGGTAACTTTGGGTTAAAGGTCAGAAGGTGAGTAGTCAGAAAAATTTTGAAGTGAACCAGAACATAGACCTTGGGATAGAAAAAGGTTTAAGATACACAGTTGACCTTTTAATGCAGGCATTAGGGTTAGGGCACCCTCCACCCCCAGTAAAAAATTCACCTCTATTTTTTTACTCCCCCAAAACTTTAGTAATAGCCTACCATTGACTAGAAGCCTTACTGATAACATAATCAATTAGTACATATTTTGTATGTTATATGTATTATATATTGTATTCTTACAATAAAGGAAGCTAGAAAAAAGAAAATCATAAGGAAAGGATATTTATAGTACTGTACTGTATTATTGTTACTGTAAGTTTACATCATCTATGTAAGGTTTATCATCTGGTAAATGGTCTTTCAGTACATGTATGATCCAAAACACTGTATGTATTATATGTATTACTAACACTAGACATAAATATTGAAAAGATAATGTGAAAAATATTCAGTTTATTTACAGTTATAACAATTCATGCATTGATAACGAAACAATATGATAGCTTTATGGTAGCCTAGTGCAATCGATGTGATTGCTTCACAGTAGTAAGGAAATCTCCAAAATATTGTTCCATATATTTGTTGGAAAAAATTCACATATAAGTGGACTCATGCAGTTGAAACCCATGTTGTTAAGGGTCTGCTGTATTCTCTTTCTTCATAAAGTCCCTCTCTTCCCCAGTGTAAAGGCTGATTCTTTCTTCCATGCAGACACAGTTTCTTGATGCCTTTTTCCTAATAAAATCTAAATAAATGTTCTTTGAGTCTGATGTCAGTAGTCAGCTAGGATCTGTTTTTAACTGGTATTTTAAAGTCTACTTATTTTTGAAGGATATTAATGGGAAGCATAGTGATGCTGTTAATGGGGTTACTGATACCTTGATAGATAATTGATTATAGATTTCCTCAGTTCACACGTGAATTTTTCCAGGCCTCTGTTGATAACCCCTGGGGCTGACATCTCAGAATATTATTCTGAAGATAAAATTGCAAATACTCTTAAAGAATGATGAACTTAAAAAACTAAAGACTTGTCTTTTGTTCTAAACTTTTTTATTTGTTAGTTACACAATTTGGAATACTTCTCTGAGCTTTTTATCTGTTTGGTGGGGGGAACTGTCTTAGGTTTGTTGAGCAATGTTAGTAAAATAAAAAATTATAAGGCACATTGCAGAATTTCCTTTTTAAGTTATTAAATGATGGTATTAATATCATATATGGTTAACAAAACTTTAATTAGCTAATTAATATAGAAATGGCATGAGACTTGTTAAAGGAAGATTGTGTGCTAATAATCTCCAGCATTTCACCTGTTCTGTTTTGAAAATCTGGTACTTTATTTACTGCTTAAAGATTCTAATTGTTTGAGATAGAAAGTATTCAATTAATTTTTTGCTATTTATTCCAGTTGTATATGTATCAGCTATTCCGAAGTTTAGCCTATATTCATTCCTTTGGAATCTGCCATCGGGATATTAAACCACAGAACCTCTTGTTGGACCCTGATACAGCTGTATTAAAACTCTGTGACTTTGGAAGGTAAGCTAACTCTCTTTCCTTCTCCCTTCCCTCCTTTCCCACCTCACTCTTACACTCCATATACTTTTTTTTAAGGTATAATCTCTTCTATTATGTCAGTCTAAAATTAATGTAATGCTTATTCAGGGAATATAAACCAGTGCAGCTTCATGTTACGGTTTTTTGGTAAATTCTGTCAGAATTATAAATGCATGTGGTCTTTCATCCAGCTGTTTAACTGCTAGGAATCATTCCCTTAGAAAAACACATTTATAAAATGGTATATGTACATGGATTTTTATCATAGCATTGTTTATCAGTGTCTGTCAGTAAGAAAATTATCAGGTAAATAATGGCATAAGGTGGCTGTCTATATATTGAAAAGGAATGATTTCTAAGAAATTATAATTTTGAAAAGCAAGGTCAAGCTTTGGCCGGTGTGGCTCAGTTGGTTGGAGTGTTGCCCTGGTTCCCCAAAAGGTGGCAAGTTCTATTCCTGGTCAAGGTTCTATTCCCATCATGGTACATGCCTAGGTTGCGGGTTTGATCCCGGTCAGGGCGTGTACGGGAGGCAACCGATTGTGTTTGCCCTCATTCTTTTCTCTCTCAAATCAATAAACATATCCTCAGGTGGGAATTTTTTTTTTTTTTTAAAAAAGCAAGGTCAAGACTGTTTATGTGTATATATTCTTTTTTCAGTAAAGAACTAATTTTTAAAAAATATTATTACACATTACTATGTATCTTTTTAACTTCATAGTTAACCCCCATTTAGAGATGAAGTAAAAGGTCTAGTAGCTATATTTTCTTTCTTTTCCTCTATAATTTAGTCTCTTAGTCTTCCTTCTTTTCTGCAGATTTTAATGCACTTTCTGTTTTCTTAAACTCATTCCTTGGTGTAATATAATATACTGTGTAATAAAACTTCATCTTTTCCATCTCCATAATATTCAGCATCTTGTGCCTCCCCGATTTACCCTTTCAACATGAACTCAACCCTATATCCCCATGTAACTCAGGCAGTTAACTGTCTGCCTCCTCTCTAGAGTAATCACCTAGAGTAGCACATTTCTCTCCATCCCTAAGACATCTCCACATAACTGGGAACCTCTCCAATTTTTTCATTCTCACAGATTTTACTTTTTAACTCAACTCTTTATAGATATTGACCCACACCTGCTAATACCTGTATTCCTACCTCTTTGTAATACTTTTTATATCAATCGACAGCTTAAAGTTTAGGTTTAATACAGGATATATTTTCCACAGGCTATCCCTTCAGAGAGTCATAACAAAACGCATCTGCTCTGCTGTGAGTTAATCCTTCTTAGTCTCACAGGGTGTCCTCTTCCAGGCCATTCCCTTTTTACAGTTTCCTAATTTCAGACACCTATTACAGGATCCAACTCATTTTGCAGGCTATAACTCTGTCCCTTCAACTATCAGAAAGGGTGAAGGATATTAATCATTTGATGCTTCAAACAAAGCACTACTGTTATTTGTAGGACAAACTGCCCAAATCATGAGTTTTATTTTTATGTGGTTTCTACCCCCTGAGAGTGACTTATTGGTATGGACTGTAAAAAGACTATGAGACATCAAGTTTAGAAGAGTTTCTCTTTTTACTGCGATGTCAACACTATTGCTATGGTTCATTCCATTGGGACATAGAAATCACTTTGTTCTAATATATTTAGGATATATTAGAATACTTGTATGGTAATAGTTCATTTTTAATAGCTCTGATAATGAAGCTGGCTTTTTTGTTTTGTTAGTTGGTTTGGGCAAGTAGAGTTTGGGATATACTTTAGATCCTTAGTGCCAGGTTGATGGTGACTTGAACAAAACAGTATGACACTCTTGTTAGTAATTCTAACAAAATGAAATGGGGACTGGAAGTAGGTGAAGGTCTAGGCTAGTTGAGACTGAGACATGGATATATGACCACTATATTAGATGCTCAACCCTCAAAGGGCTGGAAGTTATAGCCAGCCTTACCTAAAGAGAAAGAAGGTAACTCCATCAAGTAGTGAAGAAATCTATAGGCTATGGAGTTTCCAATATTACCTTCTTTATCTTATAGTAGATTTCTAACTATATAATTAGAATCTGCCTTGTTAATCTAAAAAATTCTTCGTAAGGTAGAAAGGTCTTATCAGTTAATGCTGAAAAGTGTCGCAATTTTTATGCAGCCTAAAATGAATTATTATATTAATTTATAGGATGGTTTCTGTGTGTCAGTACTTGTGGAGAATGTAAAAAAATAAACTGCCTCCCATCTTCAAAACTTGTGATGAAGGAAGAATAGGTTAAGGTCAAAGTTATCATGGATCAGAAATAAATGAAAGAAAAGAAAGCACAAACTTTGAAACCCTTCTGACCACTTTCATTTATCTCTACTCTGATTTTTCTGTACCTCAAAATTTTCTTACCTTTCCTTGTTACATTTAAAATTTTTATTTTGTTTGTATTCATTTCTTATATTTACTTTGTTATTATTTATGTTAAAATAGCTTCTACAGCGGCTTATTCCAGTGTATATTCAAATTATCTTGGGAGAAATCTCAAAAGAAACTAATTTTAATTTATTATAGTGTTTAAAATACATGCCACAAAGTTTTGGAAGGAAAGTTGGATTAAGAGAACATGTAATTGCCTGGCCGAGCATGGCTCAGCAGTTGAGCATCAACCTAGGATCCAGGAGATGGAGGTTTGATTCCCGGTCAAGGCACATGACCAGGTTGCAGGCTCTATCCCCAGTCGGGGGCATGCAGGAGGCAGCCAATTAGTGATGACTCATCATTGTTTCTGTCTATCTCTCCCTCTCCCTTTCTCTCTCTCTGAAATCAGGAAAGATGTATTTTTTTGAAAAAAAGAGAGAACATATAATTAAACTCAAGACAACAGAGTTAGAATTCATAGGCTGTGAATAATCTCTGCCCTTAAGAAGTGAGCCTGTCTTTTTTTTATTGGGTATTGGATGTTTAGACAGTTAATAAATTGATTAAGATGGTAGAAAAATAGATTGGTCTGTAAGTCTTATGATATTCACTCCTAAATCAGAAGTCAAATTATAAAAGAGTGGCCAATTTCTTACCCTTAAAAAAACATTGGGTAAAAAGGTATTCATTCTTACATTATAATCTATTACTATGGTTTTTGGTGGGGACAGGTACCTCTTACTTTTTTGCCCTTTCTTTGTATTTTAGAGGCGGAATTTAGGGAACAGAGGATCAGAAGAAATTAAGCATTTATCTTTCTGTGATTTTTTATCTCCTTTTCCTTAGGTTACAGTTGGCAAACGTAGTCTTTAAAAATTACTGTTATTTTTTAAATTAATCCCATGTAAAACTTATGTTTCTTTTGTCAGAGATAGTTATGGTTTATATTTTCTTTTTCATGTGTGACATGATTGGAGTTACATGAATCTTAGATAAACATTTAGTTTTGTGCATGATAACAGTTTAAAGTTTAGATTGTTTTAAATTTTTCTGCTTTTTATTTTTGTTAGTGCAAAGCAGCTGGTCCGAGGAGAACCCAATGTTTCGTATATCTGTTCTCGGTACTATAGGGCACCAGAGTTGATCTTTGGAGCCACTGATTATACCTCTAGTATAGGTAAGTACTGAATCTGAATATAATGGCTTGTAACTATTAATTGAATCTTGTTTTTACTAATTTAGTGTTACTAATGTATACTTTCACTTAAATATAAAGATGGGTATGCACTAAAATATCTTTTTTCTTAAAGATTGATCTGCAAAAAAGTGTACAGTATTTAAAACTTTACCTTTAAGAATTTAAAATATATTTACTATCTACTTTGAGGTTTCTTGGATTTTTCAAATAAATAATGAAGTTATTCCTTTATAATTGCATGATTTCTTTATGATTACCTGTTTTTAACTTAAACTTGCAAATAAATCTTAAGTATACCTTTTCCTTCCTTCCTTTTTTTTTTTTTTTAATTCCCCTGAAATACTCACTTCTGAGCTTGATCAACAGTTGGAGAATTTGCATTCATTAAATTTATGATGAAAGTAATGGAATGACCATATTGTTGACATTCCTACTCTGCTGTCTCAATTAGTTATTTAATTTCAGTTTAGATTAAAAAAAAATCTGACTTTTTCATTAGTAGTTTGGCTAAACCCACTAATTCTGTAGAAGGTTTCACAAAAAATCTTTAGTATCAGAAGAAATTGAATAGAGACAATTGAACTGAATAGAGATAATTTACTCCAATCTTTATGGACCTCCTCTTCTACCCCATTTTTGCACAGTAGTAGGAGTGAACATGGAGAGTATGATCAGCTGGACATAAAGAGGAAGCTAAGGAAGGAGGTACAACCTTGCGCTAGGTGCAAGTGGAGGTCAAAACTATTGTTATATATTTTTTCTGAAGAGCATTCCTTAGTCAGAAAAAGAAACAGAAACAGAAGCATACAGATAGCAAGCAAATAAACAATAACAACAACAACAAAAACCCAAATCTCAGTAACAGAAAACTAGAAAAAAAACAGAACTTGGACAATTTTTGTCTTTTGAACAAGTGGAAATTCTCTGATATGAACAAAGACCACTAAACGGAAATACACTACCAATTTTAAAATGCTAAAGGGCAAAATGCCAGTGGACCAGCAGTTTTCACCAGCAGTTTTACCCACTAGTTTTACTCTTTGTCTTCCATATTTGTAGCTTGAATCATGCCTAAGAAAGTATTTCCTGTTGTTGGTTCTTTTTTTTTTGTTTTTGGGGTTTTTTTGGTTTGTTTTTTAATGAAAGTATAATTATTTCCCTGCAATTTTTCTAGCATTGTTTTCTGAGATGAATTATTCTGTATTATAGAGGAAAGGAGTGAGTGTACCACCTTTCATCTAGTTGGCTAGGTAAAGAGATATGTTTGAACCTAGATCAAAATAAGTCATTTACCTAATAAGGAGGTACATTTTTTTCACTTGATTTTAAGAGTTACTTTAGGCTTTGAGTAAAGATTTTCTAGCAGGTTTTCATATTTGCTTCATTTAACACTAGCCTAATATATCAAGGAGGGCTTTTTTGGTCTCTGTTTGCAAAATAGGGGTCTTGGTTGTCATTACTTGGAACTAGACAAAATCAACTTGAATATCTTAAATGAAATTTTTGTCATTTTTCTAGGTTAGTTAAAAGTAGTCACTGGAGTAGAGATTTTCAGTTCTCTCTCCATAGTGCATCTTATCACACCAGACCTCTTAAATTTGTTGTCCCATGCCATTTCACTATTCTTCCTCCCTGCTGATAGATGGGAAGGCCCAGCAGTGATTTATGTTCATCTGTTTAAAGTACTTGTTGGTTTATACAAAACCCAGCAATCTCAGGCATTCCAGAAACTGTGAAAATGAGCTTTTCCTTGCGGGAAGGCTTAATAGTGGGCTATAAATAGAGTGACCATATAACTTATCTTCCCATTTAGTAATACTTTTAAAAGAGAAAGTAGATTCTATTAGTAATAGCAAGGTAATAGATTTATACCTGGCCTCTTTTGGGTAAGCCAGAATATATGCTTTAAATTATTTTTTAATTTATTAATTAAGTTTTTAACAGCTTTTTCCCACAGGGATTAAGGTTTCCACTTTGACTTAAAAGTGAATTTTCTTATTTGTGAAATAAAGTATATTTTTCTGTCTTCACATTTAAAAATGGTAATATATTTAAACACATTTTTTTCTGTCAGTATTACAACATAAAAGTCAACTGTTTAAAGTCCTAAAATTTTTTCTCAGAATTTGCATTGGCTTAAAACTGTGTACAGGATATTGAACCCTAGGTTGTTGCTACTCTGTAAGCACCTGCTAATGTGCAGAGATTGTGTCACTTTGCCTTATTTTTAAGTGTTATAAATAGGTAGTCATGTCCTATGTTTTGTTACTGTAATTCCCTGTCTTGGTTGTTGAAGACTTGAACATCTGATATTTGATAATAAATAGACTTTACCTTTTTTTGGAATATTATTATTGGCTTTCATTCCTCTTTAGTAAGTTTAACTCTTAATTTTAAAATGCATTAGGGATAGTTTGATGACTTTTTTCCTTTGTTTAGATTGTGCAATCTTTTGTTTGTGATATTTATCCTGTAATCAAAGTACAATTAGAAAATGTATACAAATAGTTTCCAACTCAACCTAGGCTACACAGTATTAATAAGACTTTTGTTTGTTTTTCTCTTCAGATGTATGGTCTGCAGGCTGTGTGCTGGCTGAGCTGTTGCTAGGACAACCAATATTTCCAGGGGACAGTGGTGTGGATCAATTGGTGGAAATAATCAAGGTGAGGAGGTTGAATTGGAATTTTGAACTGGAAGTAATTTTGTTACTAGTCTAAGAATGCATATCTCTCTCTCTCTCTCCCTCTCTTCCTCCCTCTCTTCCTCCCTCTCTTCCTCCCTCTCTTCCTCCCTCTCTTCCTCCCTCTCTTCCTCCCTCTCTTCCTCTCTCCCTTCCTCCCTCTCTTCCTCCCTCTCTTCCTC